AGTTGGTTAAATCTTAGATGCATTTTCTGTAATTTGACACTTTAAATTTCTAATTTTATGTCACTATTTCAACAGGGGCTGATTTTAAACTTGCAGCTAATTGGACAATGGGTGACATTTCAGCTTATATGAATCATGCTTTTGATTTATGACATTAAACTTACACCTCACGAATTCAGCGAGCCTACATCAAAGGTGGAATTAGTGAAAAATTCGCATAGTTACTCATATATTGTCTACCTGCTAATAATTAGTTTTTTTTTCAAATATTCTTTTCTTTGACAGTTTTTCTGGCTCAGCTGTAAATGTGACAAAGAGCAATGATCAATGTATGAAAATGTATCTATAGCTTCGAAAAAAGAATTAAAAGAAAACTTAATGTATGAAGATGTATTTCGTATACTTATCCATTTTTTTACAACACATTTTCGATAAGTGGAATAATACTCGATACTTGATAATTGTAGTATTTGCTATATTTATTATAAATCTTGCCTGTTTTGTTGTGTACAACAGAATTTGACATTTTTTTAAGATGGGCTTTATATTTTAGACTTCTTGTACTTTTTTTTTTTTTTTATTATTGCCACATGATATTCTTCCTATTTTTGGGGTTCAAATTTATTTTTAAAAATTATCATAAATTTAATATTCAATTGAATTATAACTAGTAGTGTGCAAGTTAATGTTTAATAAAAACTTAACTACAAACCCGAAGTAATATTTTGAGGAGAGAGAGGATGAGGCTAATATTGGAAAAGCATATTTTATTACATTTTTGTACAAGTTCAACCAAACAAGTTAATAGCTTAATGGGTTGGATAACAACCACTACCCATTATTAACCAAACAAGTGTATAAGAGGGATACAATAAGTTGGAAACCTTCCAAAGCCCGGATATGATAATATCATGCACAATACCTAATTTTAACCAAACGCACCCTTAGTGTATTATCTATTCGATTATTGTTGTTCATTAGAACTTAATCGTGTATTTGATCGTAGGTTGAAACGGGCTAAAATCGGGGCCCGAAAGAGTGTACGTGAATCAGCCCGGGAGCTCGGACAGCGAACCAGGAGTCCACTGGACACGAGCAGCACCCCTGCAAATTAGAGAGAGCTTGCAAGCGGGTCGGTCGAGCTCAAGAGAAGCTTCCGCTGCCAATGAGTCGAGCGGTTGAGTCGGGACGGCCACACAACAGTGGTATCAGAGCCGTCCCGTCACCGCGCTGGTAAGTCGAGCACCTAACACGTAGGGCTCGCTCTGGTAAATTGGCTTGAACCCACCTTCTACAGCTTTCGTAGTTGTAACCCCTGGCCGGGGATTGCTTGTTGGGAATCTAGCTGCTAGAACATTAGGTTAGACGTGCATGTGTTATGTGTTAACTGTGCTTATCCTTGTTGTTCTGAGCCTGTGGTTATTCTCACTGTTTTGAGCATTAAATTTCGTATTTTTTGCTGTTTTGTGTGAAATTTTGCTTGGTGTAGAATTTCTGTTATGTTCCCTGCTATGTTCCCTGCTGTTATATTCATTTTCTTGTGACTGTGTGAAGTTGCTACTGCTGAAAATTGCTTGGTAAATTGCTGGAAATTAATTAGTGCTGAAAACTGCGTGTTTATCGAGCCGAAATTTTATGTGTGTTGATTTCTGTGCGATTTTAGGTGCTGAAAAATCTGACTTGGGCTAAACACTGAGTGTTTTGCTTGCTGAAAATTGTGCTGCTATTTTGTGTTTTCTGTGAAAATGGCTTCATTTCCAGCCTTTAATTTGGCCCCGTTTGACGGGAAATCTGATTTTTCAATTTGGCAACAAAAAATGAAAGGGATATTAATTCAGCAGAGGGTGTTTAAAGCCGTTGATGGATCGGGTGAAAACCCGATGAGTCCAAGGATAAAATTGCTGAAATGGATCAATTTGCTTATTCGTCAATTATCTTGAATTTGTCTGACTCTGTGCTTAGGAAAGTTGGTAAACTTGATTCTGCTAAAGATTTGTGGGAAAAATTAGAAGAACTATACACTGCAACGAATTGTTCTTACTTGCAAATTTTTTCCGGTTTAAACTTGATCTTTCAAAAGAAATTGATGAGAATCTTGATGTGTTTACTAAACTTGTTCAGGACATTAAATTGACCGGTGATAAGCATATTGATGATTATACTCCTATTGTGCTTTTAAATGCTATTCCTGATTCTTACAGTGATGTCAAATCTGCTATTAAGTATGGTAGGGACAATGTGACACTTGAAACTGTTGTGAATGGGTTAAAAAGTAAAGAGTTGGATAGAAATTCGGGTGAGGTTCATTTTGTTAGAGGGAGACAACAAAATAGATTTCAAAATCAAAAGCCCTCTAATAATAATGGTAACCAACCTGAAAAGAAAAAGGGTAAGGGAAAAAGTCGTTCTAAATCCCGTCCCAAAAATCGTAAGTGTTACAATTGTGGTGACACAGGGCATTATGCTAAAGAGTGCAGTAAATCGAATAAGAACCAAGCGAATGTGACCTCGTGTAGTACTAATCCTGGTGATGTGTTTGTGGTGACTGAAATGTGTGAAATGCATGTTGATGTGAATTCTATGCATTCTTATTTGTGTGAAAATGAATGGCTAGTTGATTCCGGTTGCACTTTTCACATGTCTCCATTTAGAAATTTGTTTTCTAACTACAAAGAGGTTAAAAATGGCCTCTGGCAAATGAGAAACTTTGTGATGTTGTTGGTATTGGTGATGTGTGCCTTAAGTTTGATTCCGGTTATGTGCTTTGTTTGAAAAATGTTCGTCATGTTCCCGACTTGTGCCATAACTTGATATCTTGTGCTGCCCTTGAGGATGATGGGTTAGAGGGTAAATGGGGTAGAGGGGTTATGAAAATCATGAAAGGTTCATTGGTTATTTTCAAAGCTGAAAAAAGGAAAAACTTGTATGTTTGTGCTGCTACTTGTGAATCACATGCTGAAATTTCTGTGAATGCTGTTCATGAGGACCAAACTGATATTTGGCATAGACGTTTAGCTCATATGAGTAGCCGTGGTCTTGAAATTTTGCATAAAGCGGGCTGTTTTGGTAAAGATAAATTATCTTGTGTGCCGTTTTTTAATAAATTTTAACTATTAATATATTTAATAAAATTACATTTCTATACATTTTATAGTATTTTCTGTAAATATATATATATATATATATATATATTATTTTTTTTCAAATATCAGGGGTGGGCCCCCTGGCCCCCATGTAGCTCCGTCTTTGTATCTTTACATTTGCTACTTGGCTATAAAACCAAGACATTGTTCCTCATGAGCTTGCTTTCTAGTATAAAAGTGGCTAAATTGTAAAATATAGCTAGTAACTTGTACGCGGTGGCAATAATAGCCACCATCTTTACGAATTGGCAATATTAGCCAACAACTTTTAAAATTTCGAGATTATTACCCGAATCCAACCAAATTCGACAGATAAATTGCAAAATATAGCCAGTATTTTTTTATGCAGTGGCAATGCCAGTATTTTTTTATGCAGTGGCAACAATAGCCATCGAATTTGGTCGGATTTGGATAATAATCTTGAAATTTTAAAAGTTGTTGGCTAATATTGCTAATTCGTAAAGATGGTGGCTAATATTACCAATTCAATTCATTTGTTGATCACCTCAAATTCCTCTTTTACCAATTGGGGGTGCTGCTGAGGATTTGTCCTGAAATTCCTCTTTTCCCGGAGAACAACGGGGAACTCACGGCAAGGAACGATACAGAGTCAAACGTCAGGGTGCAGTTGAGGATTTTTCCCGAAATTCCTCTTTTCTTGGAGATCGGGGACCTCCGAGACATATTAGATAAATCAAACACTCCGTCGGGATACGGAGGCCAGCATCGCCGCCGATCTTTGAGACTGACAGGGTAGAGACCGAGTCCTCGATATATGGAACTACGGCCGTGTTGAAAAGGAGGCCGATATATAGGAGTGTCGGCGCCATGGCGAATCGTTCTCTGCCTCGCCGAAATCTGGCCATCGGCGAATTCGTCTCCGCCTCGCCGAGATCACCCGAAGCGAGTGATTAAATTCGGTCCTCTGGGTTTTGGTTCTTCATTGGTTACTTTTCGTTTCTCTGTTTCAAGTGTATAAATATCATTATTAGACTCCCCGAAAGGATTTCCTGAGTATTTTTGGAATTCATAGTTTTAAGTCTGCTTGCAACCCTTTGACCTTTCGAATGCTGCTACCAGGAAGGAACTTTGAGCAATTTAAGACTAATTTGCAAGAAGTTAGTGTTGACTAACAACTGTTGGCTCTAAATCTTGGGGAAGTGTGTTCACAACAGTTGTTAGTCAACACTAACTTCTTGCAAATTAGTCTTAAATTGCTCAAAGTTCCTTCCTGGTAGCAGCATTCGAAAGGTCAAAGGGTTGCAAGCAGACTTAAAACTATGAATTCCGAAAATACTCGAAAAAAATCCTTTCGGGGAGTCCAATAATGATCTTTGTACACTTGAAACGGGGAAACAAACGGTAACGAACCAAAAACCAGCACACTTAAGGACCAAATTTAATCACTCGCTTCGGGTGATTTCGGCTAGGCAGAGAAGGATTTGCCCTGGCGATCGGCAAGTTTCGGCGAGGCAGAGAACGATTCACCATGCCGCCGACACTCCTATATATCTCGACCTCCTTAACAAAACAGCCGTAGTTCCATATTTCGAGGACTCGGCATCTACCTCGTCAGTCTCAAAGATCGGCGGCGATGCTGGCCTCCGTCTCTCGACAGGGTGTTTGACTCATCTAGTATGTCTCGGAGGTCCCCGATATCTAGGAAAAAAGGAATTTTGAGAAAGATCCTCAGCGACACCCCGACGTTTCGCTCTGCATTGTTCCTTGCCTTGAGATCCCCGTTGTTCTTCGGGAAAAGAGGAATTTCGGGACATCCTGAGCGGCACCTCGACGTTTGGCTGCATCGTTTTGTGCTGTAAGATGTGTCCACACCAATCTAGACATGAAATCATATTTCATGCGTCGTGTTGAACTCTTTTCTTGGCCTAGGTTAATTCATGAGTGGGATTGCTGTTGATACTAGTATCAAGATAGCCGATTTGCAACTTCTGTTTCATACAACTGTAGATCTCTTCAAAATTCATGGTAGATTAGTTCTTTCTTTTAGTTTAGTTGCATTGTTTGTTTTTTATGTTTGTTTAATAAATCCTTTTATAAGTTTGTTTAGTAATTATCTTTTTATTAGGCTACTCGGAGCCGTATTTAAAAGAGGTTTATGTTCCTCTTGAATCATGAGGCAACACCCGCTTCGTGGGTTATCAAATATCAAAGAGTGCTACAGTTCGTGTTTCAATATATATATATATACTAGTATGTATCCCTTGCGATGCACGGGCTATATTTTTTTATCGCACGGGTTACATTCTAATATATATATTCACTTACTGTGTATTATAAGTTGGAACACGAAATGTAGCACTTTTTGATATTTGATAACCCACGAAGCAGGTGTTGCCCTGTACAGTACATCCCGATGAATCGAGAGGAACATAAACCTCTCTTAAATACTTCTCCGAGTAGAGAAGAAACTTATAAAAGGATTTGTTAAACAAACTTAAAGTCCTAAAACAAACAATGCAACTAAAAGAAAGAACTAATATACTGAGATTTTTGTAGAGATATACAGCTGCATGGAACGGAAGTTGCAAATCGGCTTTCGTGATACTAGTGTCAAAAGCAATCCAACTCATGAATTGATCTAGGCCAAGAGAAGAAAAGAAGTCGACAGGACACATGAGTTATGATTTCATGTCCAGACACCATGAACTAAACCAGAATCTCTGGTTCATCTCATCCCACCACTCATCAATTATGGAATCTCATCCCACCACTCATCAATTATGGAATCCACTGTAGCACATACTCAAATATTTGTTTTCTGTATTTATATGTTAAGTATGATTATAAATGTGTAATTTGCATCATGCTATTCATCAAATAGAAGAACATAGGTATGGAAAGTCAACCTTGTACCTTATGTGTTTAGTTCTACCGTGAATAATTAGCCTGTATTGTGCAATGGTTGACCTATACATTCCAATATTACTCTCAACCTTGTAGTTCCGAATTGCATAGACAACACCTTCTTAAAGAAGTCATTAGTGAAACTTGGGATGTATACTGCTCGAATTATTCCTGAAATTCTCTACCGCCATTTTACAGATATCATTAAAAATTAAAAACTATAATGAGAATAAGAATTGATTAAATTTGATTGTGAATCGTACCTCATGAAAGACAATTTCAAGGATGTTCTTGTAGGATGTTGAAAAATTCGAACCACTCTTAACTTTATGAAAGGCCTGTTGGTTGTTGTTATTTGCTTGATGTTGCCCCTTTGCCATTTTTCTGCTGATATGTTAAAATGCGAGTGTATGAGAAGAGTTATGATAGGTGACGTTCTACGTTGTAAAGTCCTTTTTATAGGCATGGGATATTAAGTTTTATATTAATAAAAATGATAATGATATACATTTAAAATTTGAGTTTGAGTAACTTCAAATTTTGATTTGATGATAAGAGAAGTCTAAATGATTTGAATAATAAATTAATTGGTTTATTTGTTTAGAATATTTTCGGTGTATAAAGATGGTAGAGGTAATGTAAAGGTGTGTCTTAATTAAAAAAATTTCTGTTATATTCTGTTTATATGCATACCAGAATTATGAACTGTAATTATTTAAAATGTGTTTTTTCAATTAATTAAAGTGATAAGTCGACGAAAAACTCAAATTCTAAATTTGAGCAAATTCAAATTTTGAAATTCTGATAAGATAAGTCTAGATAAATTGAATTTTAAATTATTTGGTTTATTTGTTTAGAAGTTTTATTTGCGTGGAAACTTCATGATAAGATTGGTGTAGAAAGTTCATATCAAATGTGAGACCTAAAATATTTAATGTTTTGTGTTACTGTTTCTATCCATAGCTTAATTGATTCAAATATCAATTTTTAAATTAATTCGATTAAATTGAAAATCATGTATTTCGGTAATTGAAAACTTGTATTTCGGTTTCTTTGTAGCTGTATTAAAATGTCTATATATAGTATGTCAAATGAATTATTTTTTAAGTCAAAGTTATTATTTATGTATTTTTTCAACAACCTCTTTATATTATATATATATATGTGTGTGTGTGTGTGTGTGTGTGCGCGCGCGCACTTTGCTGGATTGTTAAAGGATCATTTTGGTGTAATTTTATATTCTAGTTTGGTTGGTAAAGGATCATTTTGCTATGTAGAGGTAAACAAAATGTAATGCTAAATTTCAGGGAAAATCCATCCTTATGGTTGTGGTTCTTGCTTCGTTACATTTACTTGGAGGATATTTTTGGGTCATACACTATTTTTTAGTCATAATTATT